CCCGCGGGTCCCCGCCGCCACCGCCGCTGGGCAGCGCGCCGCCCTGAGCCGGCCAGCTCCTCCGCCTCCTCCCGGCCTCGCCTCCCGTACGGATCCGGCCGCCCCCGGCCATCTTCTCAAACTCCGGTGAAGACTCCAGCGAGGGAACCGGCCGACCTCGTTTTGCGTGCAGATCTGAGATCCGTGAACAGTAACCCTAGAGGTTGTTTTTTTTCTAAGTCCCTGATATTTTTTCAGTCCAAGTGCCCCTATTCGCGGCTCCGTAACTTTGCATCCCTAGATCCAATTCATGCATATAGCATATCAAAATGTTCATCTCAGAGAATACATCATTTCATTCCACTGCATCGTTTTCATTTGAGTTCATCTTGATGCCCGAAATGCTGTTAGAAGAGGGCTACTTGAGTTAATTGTCAGATTTGCTACTCCGTTTAGCACTTTTGTCATTTTTGTCATGATTATTGTGTGCATGATATGCCCGTGAGTTCTACATGTGTTTTGTTAAGGGTTTTGTCATCTTTCCAGAAGTGCAACCCATGTATTTTTAGGATGTGTGTGGTGTCTTGTGCAAGCTTGCAAAGTAGTGCACTTGCTAATTTTGTTTTCAGGGACTTAGTGATTTCACTAAGTCCTGGAGCTGTTTATCTCATGATGCCATATGTTCTTGTTGTTTCCTAGTGATCCGTGCCTCTTTTGAGGATGATCAGTAAGGGAGTTTTGTTAATCTTGTAGTGCTTTATCCATCCATGTCTTTGTTTGCAATTATGGAGCAACCTAGCTTGAGTCAATCGAGCTCTACTTTTGCTACTTTGTGAATCTAGGCAGATTGTCAACTTGTTTGCAATTTTGCCGGTGATGTTGTAGTTGATCTGTGCATGCTATGCTATTGTTCTTGCCATGTCTAGCTTGTATTTTGTGCCTTCTTGATGGTTGTATGCTTATCTTACCATGACTTGCTCTGTAGTGAGTGCATCGAGCTCGTAAACATGCCTACTTGAGTTATATTTCAGCATGTGTCAGTTTTTCTCTAAGTCTGAAACTGATTATGTTTTTGCTTGGTTCACATGCTTGCAATTGGATTTTCTGATCCCTTTTGCCTCAAGGTCACTAAGGACTTCTGTTAAGCTCTTTGAGTAGCTCCATGCCATGCTTTACTTTGCCATGATCAAGTCCTGTAGCATGTAGTTTTGTTGCTCCGAAGAGGGCTACCTGATCTGAAATTCCAGATAAGTGTTGATTTCACTAAGTCTGAGATCTGTTTACCATTTGCATTTTTGTCATGCTTGTTTGAACCTGTTAATAGATGATTTGGCCGTAGCTCAGTGCTAGACTTTTGTTAAGCATCTTGTGTGCATCCCTGCCATGTATTTTTTTGTCATGTTTGGGTGCTGTAGCATATTCATCTCATTGCATTTAGATGCCTACTTGCTATAAATCGCAGACCGGTGTCATTTTTGAATCGCTTGCCATTTCCAAACCGTAACTCCGATTCCGGCATTCTTTATATCGTTTTCAAGCGGTTTCATCTCATCTTTCCAGTGGCACACTTGGATTTCCAAGTTGAGGCCAGGTTCATGCGTTTTCCTGTCATATCTTGCATTTGGCAACCTGCATCACATCCAGCATAGCATATCATCATTTCATCATATTGCTTGTTCTTGCATGTGGTTGATTGTATCCTTGTTGCTTGTTTGTCTTGTTTGGGTAGAGCCGGGAGACGAGTTCGCTAACGAGGAGCCCGTTGAGTTTGCTTTCGAGAATCCAGTCAACTCTGACAACTGTGCAGGCAAGATGATCATACCCTCGAAATCACTACTATCTTTGCTATGCTAGTTTGCTTGCTCTTTTGCTATGCCAATGCTACGATGCCTACCACTTGCTTGCAAGCCTCCCAAATTGCCATGTCAAACCTCTAACCCACCAATGTCCTAGCAAACCGTTGATTGGCTATGTTACCGCTTTGCTTAGCCCCTCTTATAGCGTTGCTAGTTGCAGGTGAAGATTGGAGCCCGTTCCTTGTTGGAACATTTATTTACTTGTTGGGATATCATTATATTGTCATGTTATCTTAATGCATCTATATACTTGGTAAAGGGTGGAAGGCTCGGCCTCTCGCCTAGTATTTTGTTCCACTCTTGCCGTCCTAGTTTCCGTCATATCGGTGCTATGTTTCCGGATTTTGCGTTCCTTACGCGGTTGGGTTATAATGGGAACCCCTTGATATTTTGCCTTGATTAAAGCTTTTCCAGCAATGCCCAACATTGGTTTTACCATTCGCCACCTAGCCTTTTTTT